ACCCTCACTGATTGGGGTCTGTCTGTGAGGAAGTTGAGTAGCCTGAAGGTCGAGTGGCCTTACATGTTTGGTGAATCTTTCATTTCTTGGGTGAAACTGATTTACACAGAACCAATGTGCTCTATTTTGACAAATAACAACCGGTCTGCCCCATTCCTTCTGCAACGCTCGGTGCAGCAGGGCTGTCCACTATCCCCAGCACTCTTTGCCATCGTTTTGGAGCCTCTCGCTGTGGCTATAAGAGAGCATCCAGATATCAAGGGGCTCCAGGTTGGAGGTGTTGAATAATTAGTTTGTAGGCTGATGATGTAATACTGTACTTGCAGGATGCTGAACAATCAGTTCCTCTGCTCCTCAGCCTGATTACAGCTTTTGGTAAATTATCACGATATACCATCAGCTGGTCGAAGAGTGAGTTTATGCCTCTTTCCAACAACAGCTCGCCAGAATTTCTGCATCAAGTTCCATTCAAAGTAGTTAGGTATCATCTAAGCTACCTTGGCCTGATCATACCTAGAGATCTAAATTAATATTTAAATTGAATTTCACTGAGTACCTGTGGTCTAAACCAAAGCATTGAATATTGGAAAAAACTACCTCTGTCAATGATTGGATGCATTAATTCAATTAAGATGATTTCTCTTCCCAAATCTTTATATCTATCTCAAAATCTCCCCATTTATCTTACAGCGGCCTTTTTCAAACATTTGGACTCAGTCATTCAGTCCAATATTTGGAATAGTAAAAGGGCCAGAATCTCTAAAGTGCATTTGCAGAAAACCAAGAGAGAAGGAGAGCTGGGCCTGCCAGTTTTAAACATTACTACTAGGCTGCTAATATCAGAGTGTTAGTGTTCTGGCAGCAGGACTCCCCTGATGACCAGGCATCGACACCCCCATTGTGGGTTAGACTGGAAGCTGAATAAGTGAACAATTCCTCCCTGTCGGCTATGTTATTTAACAAGTTTGAAAAATTTGACTCTTATAAATGTCTGGGTTTTGTTTTAAAACAATCCATTAGAATCTTGAATTAGATTAGACGTTTTTTGGAACTGCCAGACACATCTGTACAGATGCCAATATGTTTTAATCGTGATTTTATGCCTCCTTGGCAAGATAAGACTTATCATGACTGGAGAGAAAAGGGTTTACTGTCTATTAAGGATATGTATATTGATAATAAATTTTTTTATTTGGTCAACTAAAAGGGAAATATAATCTGCCACATTCAAACTTTTATAGATATCTGCAGGTCAAGTATTACATCCCATTCAAGTTTAAAGACTTTGCAACTCTACCATCAGAGCACGGGATCTATGAAATCCTCAAGAGCCGACCTGATTCCAGACATCTTATCACAAAAACTATACAATTATTTGATGACTCTATTGTAGTGCATACCGTTGGGATTAGGCAGGCTTGGGAGAAAGAATCGGGGATGAAGGTGCCTGAAGTGTCTGTCCAAAATCCACTCCTGCTCTATAAACAGCAGACACCAATTAATTCAATTTAAAATCCTCCACCGGTTACACTATTCTAAGGTCAGACTGCACAAAATTTATCCTTCTGTCTCCCCAATATGTGATAGGTGTAGACGGACAGAAGGTACGTTGTTCCATGCCTTTTGGTCTTGTCCCTCATTAACAGGCTTTTGGTTTAAAATATTTGATTGGTACTCCAAGGCATATATGAAACCTCTACAGCCCGAACCTGAACTTGTAATTTTTGGGTGTTCTCTGACGTCAGAGCTACTCCCAACTGCAGGAGCCACTGGAGCTAGGTTTGATTGTCGCTAAGAAATTAATACTGAGGGAATGGAAGTCCCCCACCCCTCCTTCCTTTCAGTTGTGGGTAACAGACATGATGTCCATAATACAAATGGAAAGGTTCAGCAAAGACTCAAAAGATTCTCTTCTGAAAGTTTGGAACCCCTTTTTGGAACACTTTGCAAAATCCAGATTGGGCTGAACTAGACTCAGATTTGTAAACTTTTATCAACTTCAGCTTTTTGTATTTTATTCTGTATTGTGAAGTGCAATTTTGTTTGAATTAATTGTTTTTTTTCTGTAATGCATCTGAGCCAGTTTGTGTCTGTCTTTGTTTTGGGTTTGTTTTTGTTTTATTTTTTGAAAATTTCAAACAAAATTATCAAGATGATGTAAGGATGGAGGAGGACGGAGATGATATCCATAAAAAGCTGACTGATCTTAGAATAAATGCAGTTGAAGAAGCTGTCCCAGTGAGTAGAGGAACAGTACTGAAGACAATGGTACCGAATGCAGCAGTAAAGGAAAGAAAGAACATTCAGGCAGCTTAAAAGAAACACAATATAAAGAAGGCTCAGCAGTAATGAGGAAAGAGGAAAATTAAAAGAACATACTGGCAGGAATACTGCAGTAATTTAGGAAGAAGCACACCTATTGAGAATGTGTGGAGTACAGTTAAGAACATGAATGGAGTCAGGAAACAACTGCAGAATCCAGTATTAGTAGGTCAAGGAACAATAGGAAGTATGGATTCAAAAAAGGAGAGATCCTGGCTAAAAAAGTTAATCAAATCCTTTGTGGAAATAATTGAACTGATGAAGGTTGGTGTGAGAGAGAACAAAAACAAATCATGTTGAAATGTTAAATCAGGATAATCCTGGAGATGATAGATCTAATGTTCATTTTGTAAAGTGTGAATTCAAAGCAGCTCATAAATGCATAAAACGTACTTCCCCTAGAAGGATCAAGTGTGTTAAATCATGATGAAGCAGTTAGGGGATGAAGGACTGAATGTTCTGCTGCTCTTAGATTAGATTAGATGAAACTTTATTAATCCCTCGGGTGGGTTCCTCCAGGAAATTCAGTTTCCAGTAGCACAGCACCGACAGAAATTACATGTTACAGATACAATAAAGGGGGATGAGAGTACGGATATAAGCATAAATATACCATATATACAAATATGCACATATATAAATATAGAATATAGAATATGGATTAATAGGACTACCAGTGGGTTGCACATTTCAGTGAGTCTATAGCACAGTGATTATTGCACCGTCTAATATAAGAAAAAATATTGCAATTATTGCACAGTGGAAAAAAAAGCACTACAGCTCAGTTGTTCCCGCCCTCCTTTGTCCTCCTTTTTTCCCTCCCTCCCCCCTCCAGTGAGGAATTAAACAGTCTGATGACATTTGGGACAAATAGAATATGACAGGAAGGTGGAAAGAAGCTCCAATAATTCCAGCTGTGAAACCAGGGAAAGACCCCACTAAGACCACAGGTTGTAGGCCTATAGCTCTAACTTCTCATCTAGGGAAAGTCATGGGAAGAATGGCAGTAGACAGACTGATGTATGTGACTGAAAGAAGGCAGTTGTTTTTACCTTTTTTAGGAAGGGACACCATGGACACAGCAGCCTGTTAGAATCAGAGATAAGGGAAGCTCAGGGGAATAAAGAATTAGTGGGGGTAGTTTCTTGGATATAGGATATATATACTACAGACCTGAAGAGTGGAGAGTATTATTTATCAGAGGAAAAAGTGTCAGATACACCTGTGTAGACAGGTAAATGCATTAGGATATGAGGTGTGGTTTTTATTAGCCAACTTAAATGTTGGAAATGAATGAGTTGTTTCTGGTTAATATTCTGTGTTTGCTAACAGGATCACATACCCAATCTGTCATCTGTTAACATGTCCAAAATATACTAATTTATTGGTGGATAATCTAGTATCATTTATTTTTATTTAACCTTTATTTAACCAGGAATGTCCCGTTTAGATCAAAGACCTCTTCTAATCATGTTTTAATGCACAAGTTAATATGATTTCTTTGTGCTGATAACATACAGTCTGTTCTGCATGGAAATAAAATAAATACATGCTATGCTGCATGGGGATGCTGCACCCACTCAGAGGTCAGAGGTCATGCACAGTAATCACACTGACACCAAGAGAAGAAAAACAGCTGACAGCAAAGGCAGGGAGGTGTCCTTTCCAGGAGAAGAGGAATATAAAGATGGGGGCGATCGTGGCTCAAGAGTTGGGAGTTCGCCTTGTAATCGGAAGGTTGCCGGTTCGAGACCCGGCTTGGATACTTCACCCGTTGCCTACTGGTGGTGGTCAGAGGGCCCGGTGGCGCCAGTGTCCGGCAGCCTCGCCTCTGTCAGTGCGCCCCAGGGTGGCTGTGGCTACAATATAGCTTGCCATCACAAGTGTGTGGATGACTGGATGTGTAAAGCACTTTGGGGTCCTTAGGGACTAGTAAAGCGCTATACAAATAGAGGCCATTTACCAATGAATCAGTCATATTTCATACTGATACTGATAGATCCAGATCATCAGCAGTTTGATCCACATATGGATTGAAGTGTATTTGTAAAAATGTTGGATGCTGTTCCTTTATCAGTATCTAACAGTATGTGTATGAGAGCGATGCAATATCCATGTGTGCATGCTGAAAGAGACTGTGCTGGTCTGACCCCCCCCCTCCTCCTTTCAGGGTGGAGCCTGCTGGAGTCCAATGGTTGACACCAGGTCTGAAGAAGTGTAAGTGTGTTTTTAATGTGATTCATGAAAACAAAGCATCACTCATTCAACCATTTTCAAACTGTCACATTACTCATTCACATCTGTGATGTCAGGTGTCATCATCAAAGTGTCAATCAATGAACAGATGATGGATCAGTAACTGCAGCTGGATTGTGTTTGTTCTCTCCATCAGATTCCTGTCAACTCACAATCGACACAAACACAGTACACAGAGAACTTAAACTGTCTGACAACAACAGGAAGGTGACACGTGTGACAGAGGAGCAGTCATATCCTGATCATCCAGACAGATTTGATGGTCATCCTCAGCTGCTGTGTAGAAATGGTCTGACTGGTCGCTGTTATTGGGAGGTCGAGTGCAAAGGAGACATTTATATATCAGTGAGTTACAGAAGAATCAGAAGGAAAGGACGGAGTAATGACTGTGTGTTTGGATGGAATGATCAATCATGGAATCTGCTCTGCTCTGATGATGGTCCTCGTTCTGTCTGGCACAATAACAAAGAAACATCCATCTCCTCCTCCTTATCATCCTCCTCTGTCCCTAACAGAGTAGCAGTGTATGTGGACTTTCCTGCTGGCACGCTGTCCTTTTACAGAGTCTCCTCTGACATTCTGATCCACCTCCACACCTTCAACACCACATTCACTGAACCTCTTTATCCTGGTTTTTATATCTGGTCTGGTTCCTCAATGTGTCTGTGCTGAGTTGAGTATAAAGAGTGTCCTCCTATTAGAGAAACTGTTTTGAACAGGTAGTTTAATCTGTACATGTCTGCCTGAGGAATGTATCTCAAAAGTTACACTACCTGCTGGCTTTTATTAGATCAGATCTTCAATTATCCTCCTCATTTTCCTCCTTATCACTCACACTCTTTTTATCTGTGTTGGGTCTGTGTTTCCACAAGCCCCGCTAATTCTAGAGACTTATTCATCATGAAGAAAACAAGACAGTCGATCGAT